CACTGACAAGTGTACTGAGTCATGTTGGTAGATGTAGGCTGACTGGTTGGTGTCTGCGAGACGATAGTCACCAATGGTTAGAGACCTTGAACTACATGGCTCAAAAACGTTTGCAATGGCGCAAGTGCATCCATTCGTTGAGCTGTCTCAAATTCTAACTTTCTGAATTCCTCAGCACCTCCACCTTTGTCTTTCTAAGCTTATCTCACTGAATTATACTTCTTGAATAATAATATCTTCAAACCCCCTAGTCTTCTTCATTACCATTAATACCTCTACTATCTTTATCACTATGGGATTTGAATCGACATTTGCGTCTCTGTGCTAATAATGTGGTATGGCAACCTGAACTTATGTACAATACGTACGAAGTTGTACGTTGCAACTGACTGATTCAAACCCAGGACATTCGGTCTCATGTGTAAAAATGCTTAATCTTTGAACCACTGAAGCGGCATCCAGTGGTGCTAATGTCTAACTTGTATCAATCCATGGTCTTGAGCAACACCATTCACTGTTTTGGATGGGTAACTGCCTCACACGTGACAGTGTTCAACTCCACAGGTTACGGTTTCTCACCGAAAAACCTTGAGAATGTCTTCACGAAGCTAGTCAACAGTGAGCGCACATTTTGATGACTTTTTCATTTATGGAGTTGTAGAGATTGTTGAGTTTCACTGAAATTGTAACGAATAGATCATTGCTATTGTTTCCAGTTAGAATTAGATTGGTAAAAGTTGTTTGAATGTTTCATAGTAGAGTTTCGTTCTCTGAAGTGGATGATTCGGTTGTGTTTTCATTGTTGTTCAGAAGTTTTTGCTGATGAGAAGGAATACTCTCCCATAATCATTCACCTAAGTTACAAATTTTCTCCCCCGCCATTCAGAAGTTTTACATCATAAACTGACATAGAATGTAGTATTGTTGCGAAGTTGGTAAAGTAACCTGCTGATGAGTCCTATAGTAGGACGAAACAGCTGTCCAGTGCTTCTATGTTTCTAATGGTGGTCTAACACTGACCAATTCGTGACTTCAATGAAACTTAACAATCTCCACAACCCATAAATGATGGATGTCATGTAGCAATCGGCAACAGTTTCATTTCAGTATTTGACACCTCAGAAATGGATCCATATAGACTTTCTGTAGTTTTGGGGCCTAGAACATTCATTTTCCCCCCTGTTATAGCTTGAGTTTGCCTTAAATTCACCAATCAGAATTCTTCTACAGTCATCGCTGTAAACTTCGACTATTGTACATCTGACTTGCAGTGCAAAACGAGCCAAATCAAGCTAAGCTTTTATTTATTAGTCTGTTACACTCAAAATCTTTCTCTATCCCTTGCTTTAAGTTCAAGATGGAATTCAACAATTAGTCACTGTCGTTAGTCTATTTCAGGCATACGTGAATTTATTATATACAAACATACTGGATCATGTATCGTAACATAAAATGATCAGCCAAGGTAGTATATATACAAGACAAAAGTAGTTGTGAAACTGGCTGTGATACATGGTTATTTATGAGCTGTTAGTATTTTATCGTAGGTGTCTTCGAAGCGTTGCTCACATATCCTGGGACACCCGAGTGAGCAACGCTGTTATTAGGAAAAGGGTTCTAGGTAAGGATGGCAAATTAACAGATGAAGTAATGAAACTTCATCAGTTGAGGTGGTTGAGACATGCCCAAACACCGACTGCCCCGATGAGTGGTTTTTTGTGTCGTAGGAGTAGGTTGAAATAAAGCTAGAGGCATCCAGATCAAAACATGGAATAAATCAATGAATTCACTGTCAAGTGGACTGAGACATGTTGGTAGGAGTAGGCTACCTGGTTGGGGTCAGCGAGACCACTAGTAACCGATGGTTAGAGACCTTTAACGATGTGCCTCAAAACCATTGCAATAGCACTGCTGCATCCATTCTTTGTCTTCTCTCAATTTCTAATCTTCTGAATTCTTCATCGCCTTTCTCTTTTCAAGTTCCATAGATCATACTTCTTGAATAATATCCTCGAATCCTAATCTCTCCGATTATTGCTAATAATCCCACTACTATGTTATGCTCTTCACTAAGTATGCTTGAAACTATTTTATGGGTTCACCTAAGTCGATAAACGAGAACGAGACAATGAACCAGCGTCCAGGAAGGCTACTCTGATCCGTTGACCCAAAGGCGCTAACGAGAAGTCTTGATATGGCGTAGGAAGTGTCTGCTACAAACACCTAGACAAATCGCGTTTATTTATACACCATAGAGACGTGCTTGGGAGATTCACAAAAATAACACACTAAAATAACAAAGTAACCAATCACAGCCAATGATTTTCCTGGTGAAAAGTGTGATCTCAAGGTCAACTGATCAGCCCCATGAATAAAATCCAAATAAAAGACATTTATCAAGCGAGTTCTGAGAATCCAGTATCCCCAACACTTGAATTGACAGTTGTGTCTGTCTGTGCTTATGTGGTATGGCCACTTTGGACTGATGTACGTACGTTACGTACGAACGAAGTTCTACGTTGTAGCTGACTGACTGACTTGTGAATAATGAACTAACCATAAAATAGGGAGAATAAATAGTTTAATATATAATCTCTAATAAGTTCAACGAAAACTTATATAATGAACAGAATATAAAAATATGTCAACTCAATTGTATGGAAGTTTTATGCTATGAGACTATTATGTACTGCAGTAATAATAACAACGATAATCCTAAAAATCGATAAAGTAGTTTTGGGAGTAACCATTTTGTTTTACAGTCGTCATTCTGATACATTACCTCCTTTTTTTTGTTTTCAAGCCTTACTGGATAATACAAATCATAAGGGAATTAACTTTTTTCAAATCAATGTGGTTTGTGTTTGATAGGTTGCAATCATCTTTGAGATTTCACTGAATTCTTGTTCTAAATTTCTGGATCTGTTTTTAAATTACTTAATTCAATTGGTTGAATATATTTCATGGTATAGTGATCTTTCTTGTCTGGTCAGTCGCCATTGGTTTTCACTTTGCTTCTAGGTGGCTAGGGACGGCCAGACCGAAACAGGGCACAAGTCGATGAAGTCACTGCCAAGTGGACTGAGCCATATTAGTAGGTGTAGACTATCTAGTTGGGGTCCAAGAGACGATACTAACAGATGGTTGGAGACCTTGTATGACATGGCTAAAAATCGTTCCCAATGGCGCGGATGCATCGATTCTTTGTCTTCTGTCAAATTGTAATCTTCAGAATTCCTCAAGACCGTTTTTTCTCACTCTTTCCCTGTTTTTAAATTGATTCTTCTGGGATATACTTCTCGAATCATTATCGTCGAACCCTAATCTCTCCGATAACTGGTAATACTTCTACTACTTCAATTACTATGGGATTCGAATTAACAATTCGATCTATGTGTGCTGATGTGTTATGTCAACTTGAACTGATGTAGATACGTA